ACGTCGGAACGCCCCGATGTGAGTTTCGCGCTCGCAAACGAGTTCGGACAGCATGTTCGACAAGCCGATACCTTCTTTGTGGCATAGCTTGAGAATGCTGAATGCGAGATGCCTACGGTTGAGGATTTCCGGCCTCAGATGAAAGTACTGGCGAACGAGTTTGCGGAGGTTTTTGAGCCCATCCCAGATGGCCTTCCTCCGGACCGTGCTGTCGGTCACACCATCCCAGTGGAGCCTGGAAAACTCCCACCTTTTAGACCTCTGTATCGCCTCAGTCCAGCTGAGTACGTGGAGGCTAAAGAACAGATTGAGGAATATCTCAGGAAGGGATGGATTGAACCAAGCGCATCACCTTACGGAGCGCCGATCCTGTTCGTGAACAAAAAGGGCGGAGGATTACGCATGTGCGTAGACTACCGTGCTTTGAACAAGATAACGGTGAAAAACAGATACCCACTGCAGAGAATTGAGGATCTGTTTGACAAGCTCCAAGGTGCCCAGTGGTTCAGCGCATTGGACCTCGCGCAGGGGTATCACCAATTGCGCATCACTGAAGAAGATGTACCCAAAACGACTTTCCGATCGCCGTTTGGTCATTTTCAGTGGCGAGTGCTGAGCTTTGGCTTGATCAATGCTCCTGCCTCATTTCAAAGGGCCATGAATGATGTCTTTCGCGAGGCGATTGGATAGTTCGTCCTTGTCTATCTGGATGATATCTTGGTTTATTCCAAGTCAGAAGAGGAGCACACGCGACACCTTAAGTGGGTGTTGGGGAAACTGCAAGAGCATAAGTTCTATGCTTGTCTGTGGAAATGCCATTTCTACAAACGCGAGTTGGAATATCTTGGCCACCTCGTGGGAAATGATGGTCTCAAAGTAGACCCAAAGAAAGTTGTCGCAGTCCAGAACTGGCCAGTGCCACAAGATGTGGGTCAAATCAGGACGTTTTTGGGACAGGCGAACTATTTTCGTCATTTTTTGCAGAATTATTCTACAATTGTTTCTCCATTGACGGCCCTCACTCGCAAGAGTAGTGCTTGGCAATGGACACAACAATGCCAAAAGGCATTCGACGAGGTCAAGCGAATGCTGACCAACACTCCGGTACTGGTTTTACCGGATCCGACAAAGCCCTATGAGGTTGTTACTGACGCCTCATTGATTGGGATTGGGGCGGTCCTCTTGCAAGAAGGGAGGCCAGTGGCATTTGAGAGTCGAAAGCTCTCCCTGGCAGAGCAGCGCTATACGACATCCGAACAGGAATTGTTGGCGGTCGTTCATGCGCTACGAACATGGCGATGTTATCTGGAGGGTGTGGAGTTTGTGGTTACGACCGATCACTGTCCAAACACCTACTTCTCCACCCAAGCCACGCTTACTCGACGTCAAGCCAGATGGGCGGAACTCCTTAGTGGGTTCACCTTCGATATTCGATATCGAGCAGGTTCGACGAACCTGGTTGGCCCCCTCAGCAGACAGCCGATAGGGGCAGCAACACGGCTAGACGACACCGAGGATGCAGCAGTATTTTCTGCTTGCTTCAGTGTCCTAGCAACGGCTTGAGTGAGTGAGATTACTTTCAGTGGTTTTCTGAAACGCATCCGCACAGGGTATCAAATTGAATCCTGGTTTCAGAACCCACAAAACACAAAGGAACTCAAGTGGGAGCATGAGCTCTGGTGGCGTAAGAAGGAGATTGTTGTACCTCACGTAGGTAACCTGCGGAACGATATTATGAAAGAAGTGCATGCCACTAAGTACGGAGGGCACCTAGGGGTCAAAAAGACCAGGTGGGCCTTGAGTGATGTGTACTGGTGGCCGAGATTGGCCACTGAAGTCCAACAATTCGTGGCGCGATGCGATACATGCGCACGAAATAAAACGGACACAAAGAAGCCTGATGGTCTGCTTCAACCGCATGAAATCCCGAATGATCCTTGGTAGAACGTATCCTTGGATTTTATCACGGATCTCCCCAAGACTCGCGATGGCCATACAGCGATCCTAGTATTTGTGGATCATCTGACAAAGATGGTGCATTTCGTGGCTACGACAACTGACGTATCTGCGGAAGATACGGCCAAACTGTTTGTGGCGCACGTTTTCCGCTTACACGGGTTACCACGTGTCTTGGTGTCCGACCGAGATCCACGCTTCACAAGCCGGTTCTGGCAAGAGGTTACACGGACACTAGGAACGAAGCTTAAGATGTCCTCAGCGTTCTACCCACTAACAGATGGGCAGACAGAACGAACAAACCGGATACTTGAACAGATGCTTCGTTCATTCGTTGGCCCAACTCAGGATGATTGGGACGAGTTGTTACCCTCATGAGGGTACACGTGAGAAACCTTTCATTCTGAACTATGGTCGGCATCCCACAACACCTGCTACGCATGGGATCGGTGGATTGAAAATTCCAGGCGCTAAAGACTTTGTTGGCAAGCAACAAGAAGCGCTTAAGTCTGCTCACCATTGGCTTCAACTCTCTCAGCAGCGACAAAAGTCTTACGCCGACATGAAACGCCGGGAGGTCTCATTTGAGGTCGGAGACAAAGTTTTTCTGAGCACGAAGAACATTCGTCTCAAAATCCCTGGAGCACGAAAGCTGTTCCCTCGATGGATTGGGCCTTTCGAGGTGATCAAGCGTTTTGGTGTGGTAGCTTAGCAGCTTAAGCTGCCTGATACATTGCAGATTCACAACGTCTTCCATGTGTCTCTGTTGAACAAGTACGTTGCAGAGGGCAAGCACTTGCCGCCACCAACGGTCGTCCTGGGGGAGGATCTGTTTTATGAAGTCGAACGAGTGCTGATGCATCGTGATTGACAGCGCGGCCGCAAGACAGTACGAGAGTTCCTCATCAAGTGGAAAGGCTACGGGCCTGAACACAACTCATGGGAGCCAGAAGAGCATTTGACTGAAACTGCAGTTCAGTCACACATGGCAGATTTGGCCCGACGAGCTGCCGCACCGCCAGTGGAATGTGTTGACCCTGGTCGTAATGTGATACGGCGTGCTCGAAGCGCTCGTCCTCGGAAGCACCCTAAGGCAACGGGGACGTTGCCACCTAGGGGGGGAGGAGTGTAACGCCTACTCTACCTAACTACCGCGGATTTCCTAAGTCAACATCGAGAGAGTGCTCGATGAGATGTGACGTGAAGGCAATCGGGAAGGTTGAGTTGGAGAGGAAGATTGGTTTGGGATTTCCAACCCTCAACCTTGAGGCTTGGAAACTTCCAATCCATCAAAATGAAGATTGGAAAGGTTGGATTTCCAACCAATCACATTGTGCCAAATGTTGTTACAATCCATACAAAGAACCTAGCAACCATACAACACAATTAAGTTGGGTTTTCCCAACCAAGCAAAGATGCCACATAGGCTCCAAGCCTAGAAGCTCCCCAACCATGGAAGCCATGGTTGGGAAGAGCCCCAAGGGGTATTGTGGAAGGGGTTGAAGCTTGGAGGCTCATTCCCACTTCCCAACTCCAACTTACCAATTTGGAAATGGGATTTCTCTAAGTCATTTTGGTTCTCCTAACAAGCTCCCCTACACAACTAGAATTGTGTTTACTTCAAGGACAAGCTCTACAAGAAGCTACTTACCTACTTGCTAAAGCTCTCTTTCTTCTCTCAAGCTTCAAGAGTATTATTAAGGCTAGTTTATCCCTGGGTGGGATTAGTTTAATCTTGGGAGCCTTGTATCTTGTTTTTATATATATTGTCAAGGAGGATTTATATTTAACACATGGTTGCCCGTTGTTATAAGGGCCGTGGTTGTTACATTTCACGCGGTTGCACGTGGCTTCGTCGTCGGCAGAGAGTAAAAAAGCGCGTCTGTCGCAACACCCCGCGACCCTACAACCAATTTCGGGTATATTTTAAAGTTGGCCAATGCGTTAGTGGCTTTTTGTTATTTCTCTGCTAGTGAACTGGGATAGTCGCATACTATGGTTCCTAACGCGACCTGAACTACAGGTCTCCAAACTGTACACAACCCAAGTCTTCCTAGGAGGGGGTGGTTACGACGATCACAGCGCAACATTTTCTGCCCTACAATTTTTTGAGTGGGTTTTCTGCATGATATATGGTAACCAGAAAGGCTCGGGAGTCAAACTATGGGCTCGAGGGGCAAAATATATGTGTGTGTGTGTGTGTGTGTGTGTGTGTGTGTGTGTGTGTATGTGTGTGTGTGTGCGTGTGTGTGTGTGTGTGTATGTGTATGTACGTGTGTGTTTTTTTTTTTTTTTTTTTTTTTGCTTTAAACATGGTTGTTCCCAACCCTACCAAACTCTGAACACAGCCTGTATGTACCAACCGTTTTTTTTTTTTTTTTTCCAACGGTTTTAGGTCGCGGTAAAAGTGTAGATATCGCAGGATCGTGCCAAGGATCGTGCTCATATATCGAGTCGCGCCATTGATTTAGCGGATCGATTGGCGAAACGACACGCAAACGCCGTTGTGACGATCACCACTAAGCTTTGGGTTGATCTCCAGCAATCAAGGATCAGTCACATTCTCTACTGTAGAATGTTACACGCTAGTGAACCGGGTAACTGATCCGCACACCATCACGACCGCGTCCTTATGGCAATAGGTTTCGCTGGGCTAGATTGAGGCTTGGTTGATAGATCGGCTTGGTGCGTACCAAGGCGAGCACCTTGTCTCGACCTCCGGGTTGCCTGGAGCCTTATTCGGTGCATCTATTGCACCAAAGCGGTTCTGCCACCTGGGTTACCGACAACGCGGCTACCGACAACCTCGTGCCCATGTCCACGTTGTAAAAGGGAAGAAGCCCCACGCACGGCCATTTCTTGCATCAAGAAACGAAGTCAGAGCCTTTCTTGTTGCAGTGAAATAGGCCATCTCTCGCGTCACAAATCCGCTTTTCTTGTTTCAACATGCTCCTTCTGGATTTAACTGAATCACTCTGCTCCGCTCTGCGGCCCGGCCATGTGTCCTATGTCCTTTTCTGGAACAGTAGTAGTTATCGCGAACTATGGCTCACGCCACGCACACGCGGTCAACCATGCGTCGCTTCTCTCGTCGACTGCCCCAAGTTGTCGTCTTTTTCCTCTTAGTCTCGCCGGTCCCAACCACTGCGCCGAACGAATCCAGCATCACTCCAGGAGGCGATGATGTCCCCCCCGATGCGAGCAACGTCCCCCCCGACGCCAGCGACGTCCCCCCCGACGCCAGCGACGTCCCCCCCGACGCCAGCGACGTCCCCCCCGATGCCAGCGACGTTCCCCCCGATGCCAGCGACGTTCCCCCCGATGCCAGCGACGTTCCTCCCGATGCGAGCGCGGGCGCCGCCGGCGACGAGGACGGGTACATGGAGGCGACACCGGCGGTGAAGCAGCTGGTGGCGCGGCTGGAGCGCGTGGCGGGGTCCATGAAGAACCCCTGGGAGGTCCTCATGCACCTCGACCAGCTCTTCGCCGCTGACGCCAGCGCAACCCTGAGCGGCGCCACTTCCTCTGGCGCCGTGGGAGCAGCGAGCTCTAAGGTGTCGCCCCTGGCCACTGGGTGCGCCGCGACCAAAGCGCAGATGCTCAAGGAGGTGTCGCGGCTGGCGTGGAGGCTGCACTTCCGGCCCATCAAGTACACCATCATGGGGCGCTTCTTCAGGAACATCGCCACCACCGCCAGTGAGCCTCTCGTGTTTCTTCCTACTGGCATCCGCTTAACAATCAAACAAGTAACGCTTACGATATTTTGTCTCGTTTATTTTCTCCCACCTTTTTTGCATGTCGTTTGTGGTGGTAACTGCGCAGAGAAGAACAACGGTGACCTGAGGTACCTGGGGTGCCGCACGTACCTGATACCGTCTAACTTCGCATTCATGAACATGATACGCCAAGGGCATGGGTGACGTCAGGTACCTGGTGCTGGCGCCGCTCTACAACACCATCAACGCCACGTACCACTTCGATCGCCTGCGACGCATGCCGCATGGCGCCACCATGCCCACGCTCATCCCCGGGTACCCCATCGCCAAGTACTTCACGCCCGTCACTCCCCTTGCACTCATCACCTTGGGCGGCTCCATCGTCGCCGTCGGCACACCCAGCGCCAAGACGGTACTCGCACGACTTGGGTGGGCGCAGATCAAGGACCGTGATATTCACTGTGGGAAGTACCTGGCGGCTCACGGCGTGAGCACCCTGGTCATTCCACGCATCAAGTTCCCCAAGTGACCCACTGCTCCAGGGCTTATCCACCCGCAGCCATTAGCTATTAAGCCGTAGAAGTTTCCTTAGTTTCCTAACAAGGCCGTAGCTCATGGTTGGAGGGCTTGGCTTGTCTCTAGTTGCTACTCTCAAGGTCCCTCAACCCTAGATTTCTCAATACGTAGGTGCCTTCTAGCTAGCACTATTTAGCAGTTGGATTGCCTATTTGGCAATGTTTTTGCTTGAGCAAATTCTGTGGCTCCATTCATGCCTAGCGTGCACCATCAGGTGTGATGCTTTTATGTAAGATTTGTCCGATGTTCTTGTATACGTGTATACATGTACATATACGGTATAACTTCAATAATTCTCTGTTTCTCTGTGTGTGGACATGTGCGTGGGGGCAGAGCACGTGTGTGGGGCCGCCAGTGTGTGCACGCGCGCCTGTGTGTGTGTGTGTGAGTGTGTGTGTATGTGTGCATGTGTGTGTGTGTGTGTGTGTGTGTGTTTGTGAGTGTGTATGTGTGCGTGTGTGTATGTGTGTGTGTGAAATTATTAATTTAGTTGTTGGGCTTTAGTGGGGCACACAGGGGTACATACATTTTAGGGTTTGTACTTGTACTCACTTCCTTGCTAGTGAACCTCATTCGTGTTTCTTACATTCTTAACATGGTACCTGAAACAAGGTTAGGTCTGATCGCCCTACCTACTGCCGTACTTACTGCCCCGTACTGCCCCACGCTGCCTCAAGCACGCTGCTTCTCGCGCGCCTCGCACTGCTGCGGGCGCGCTGCCTCGTGCTGCCCTGCACTGCCACGCGCGCCACGCGCTACCCCGCACTGTCGCATGCGCCGCGCGCAGCTCTTCGCGCTACTCCGCGCGCACCACTGCTGCCCTTGCCCACGCGCTCCCGCTGCTCGCGCGCTGCTATTGACTGGCGCCGCCGCTACTCGCGTGCCGCCCTTGCCCTGCGCGCCGTCGCTGCCCCGTACGCTGCTGCTCCAAGCGCAGCAGCTACTGCCGCTACAATCGCAGCTGCTGCCGCCACTGCAGCCGCCACTGCTATCACTGCCGCCACCCCTGCCACTGCAGCTGCCGCTGCCGCTACAGCTGCCACTGCCGCTGACGCTGCCGCCGCTGCCGCTGACGCTGCCACCGCTGCTGCCACTACAGCAGCTGCGGCTGCCGCTACAGCATCTGCCGCTGCCGCTGCAGGCGCCGCCGCCGCTGCCGCTACAGCCGTCCCCGCTGCCGCTACAGCTGCCGCCGCCACTGCCACTACATCTGCCGCTGCCGCTGCCACTGCAACTGCTGCCTCTACCGCTACAGCCACCTGCTGCCGCTACAGCTGCCGCTACCGCTGCCACTGCAGCTGCCACAGCCGCTGCCGCTACAACCGCCGCTGCAGTCGCCCCCCCCGCCGCCGCTGCTGCTACGACTGCCGTTGCAGCCGCCGCCCATTCCACTAATGCCACTGCAGCTGCCGCTAAAGCTGCCGCTGCATCTGCCGCCACCGCTAATGCTATAACTGTCGCTGCAACCGCCGCCCCTGCCGCTGCTGCCACTGCAGCTGCCGCTACAGCTGCCACCGCCGCTGCCGTTACAGCCGCAGCTGTCACCGCTGCCACTGCCGCCCTTGTGCCACTGCTGCTGACTGCCATTGCCTACCATGGCGACGCCTACTGTACTTACCTTTGGCGCAGAGGGCCGCCCGATCGAGTACGAGTCCTGGCTGCTACACCTACACCTTTACTTGCAGAGCGTTACCAAGGATGACGCCTCGATCTTTGAGCCCACGTCGGGGTCCCTTTCTCCCCCTGATGAGCCGACTACCCCTGGCCCTACCGCTAGTGACAATCATCAGCAGCAGTTTAAGACTGACCGCATTGCCCACACATAGTGGTTCGCACACGACGCCACTGCCCACCTTGCAGTCTGCTCTCACCTCCCACCCAACCAGAGGTCCCACTTTCGCAAGCTGAAAACAGCCAAGACGCTCTATGATGCTGTAGTGAAGCGCGACTCCTCCCCCTCTTCTGCCACCTGCACTCCCTTGACACGCACTATCGTGCCGCTCTTTGTTAGGATTGAGAATATGGCCGCTGTGTATAGCTAGAGAGAAAGTAGCGAGAATGATTGTACTAGGAAAGAGTGTCGAGATACAAAAGTAGGAAACCCTAATTGAACTTAGGGTGCGTTCAGTTTGTGCTAGACATGAAAGTGTAACTCGCTCTAAACATGGCGAAATAACAAAAGAACACCATGATAAATGCCAGAGCGAGCTCTAGCATACTCCAACACTCTCAAGCCAGACTTTTTGGCTGAGAACCAGCCCCCCATGTATCTCACTCTCTACTTCCTCACGACTCGTCTCCCCAACTCACTTCGCGCCGTTCATGACCACTTCCTCTCCCTAGACCTTACTGAGCTCACCCTCACCTCGTTTGAGTCCCGTCTCCTTGAGGCTTAGACCAGTGCCTACGCTGTAGCTGCCTCCCGTGGCACTCCCCGTCCTCCTTCTTTAAGGGGTGCCCCCCCTCCCTCCTCACGCCTGTTGTTGCCTCTGCCGCTACTGTTGACTTCCTTGGAGCTGAGGAGGTCGGTGCTGCGCCTGCCCCTAGTGGGAGGCACCATGGCAAGGGTGCACGTACCAGGGGTGGGGGCAGCGGGGGTGGTAGAGGGGGCGCTAGTGGTGGCAGTGGCGGGGGTGGTCGCGGTGGCGGTGGCGGTGGTGGGGGTGGTGGTGGCGGCGGTGGTGGTGGAGGTGGCGGGGGTGGTGGAGGCAGTGGGGGTGGTGGGGGTGGTGGAGGGAACACAGGTGGTAGTCGGGGTGGAGCTGGCAGGGGTGGAGGCTCGGGTACGGCTACCTGAGGAACTGCGTCTGGTGGTGCAGCTAGTGGAGGCGGAGGTTCTGGGGGTGGGCAGCAGCAGCAGCAGCAGCACCAGCAGGAGACTCTCTCGCCGGAGCAGCTTCGTGAGTGGGTTGCCCAGCGAGGCGGCCCTGGAGGCGGAGGTCGCTGCCAGTACCGCTGGCGCACGGGCCGCCCCGCAGAGGTCTGCGGCAGGCAGGGACACACTGAGGCTCGCTGCATCTACCGCCTCGATGTTGCCTTTCGAGCAGAGTTTGGTGAGCGGATCAAGATTCCTGACCGGTTAGGACTGCTCAAGAAGGGCGTAGATTTGTTTTCTCTTGATTGAGACCAGATCTCTACTGGCATGTATGCTATATATGCTGCTGGTGCTAGTGCTGAGGGTGACTATTATTCCAGTGTACCTAGATCTGGTAGTGTAGAGGCTACAAGTGTAGGTGCGTGTGAGTCTGCTAGCACAGGTACAGTCCCTGTGGAGGCTTTGCACACCTTCACGTTGGACTCAGGCGTATCTTGCTGGTTCTTCCGCGACTGCACCACAGTCACACCACTCACAGCACCTGTCCATGTCACCCTGGCCAACCCCTCGTCTGGCCCAGTCGTTGCACGCAGCTCCACTGTTCTCCCGTATTTGACAGCCCCCTCTGGCTCCCTCACCGGTCTCCACCTCCCCTCGTTCGCTACGAACTTGGTGAGTACCACTCACCTTCAGGACCTGTTGGTCACGACCACCACTCTTGGAGGCGAGCGAGTGGTGATCTATACGAACATAGTGACTCGCGACCACCTAGTCTCGTTCACTTGGAAGCATGGGTTTAGCCTGTACACACTGCATACGGAGTCTGCACAAGTGGCCACGTCCGGTCAGGTAGCTGCATCTTGCTTGTGTCGGTTACTCATGCACCCGTCTCTCCTCTGGCACCACCGTCTTGGTCACCCCACCCTACAGTGTCTGCATCGCATGCATTTGCGACTCCTTGTCTTTGGCCTCCTGAGGTCCCTGCCCCCGCTCCCGCCGTTGCTTGCGCCACCGTGCACTCCTTGTGTCGAGGAGAGGCAGCGCGTCGCTCCCCACTTCTCCTCGTTCCCTCCAACCACTGCTCCTCTGCAGACGCTGCACATGGACGTGTGGGGCCCAGCCCCCGTCCCTGTCTTGCGCTGGGAGCTCTTATTCTTGCTGGTCGTCGACGAGTACATGCGCTACATCAAGGTGTTTCCCCTAGAGCATAAGGGAGACGTCCGTGTTGTTTTGATCCCTTGGATCTGCGTTGTTCGTCGCCAGCTGAGTGCGCGGTTCTGTCAGGACCTCCCGGTACCCCGTCTGCACTCTGACAGTGGTAAAGAGTTTTCCTCTGGTCTTCTTGATAGATTTTGTTGTGAGGAGGGCATCACCCAGTCATTCATGCTTCCGGCCTCTCCACACCAGAATGGGATCGCTGAACGCTGCATTGGCTTGATCATGGAGGTTGCTCGCACCTCCATGATCCATGCGGCTGCTCCACAATTTATGTGGCCGTTTGCGGTCCGATAAGCTCCGCATCACCTCAAACCCTGGCCCCATGTCTCCGAGCCAGAGACCTCCCCTACACTGCGTTGGCGCCGCGTCGACATTTCAGGTCTAGGGTTCACTTGCCCTTGTCTGCGATACTACTGCAGGCAAGCTCTCTACTCACACCATTCGCCCTGTCTTCCTTGGCTTTACTGACGACGCGACTAACTGGCAGTCTCTACTCACACCATGCGGTCATGCGCCGCATCCTGTCCTCCCGCGACGTCACCTTTGACGAGTCGGTTTGCTACTACCGTCTCTTCACCAACCACAGTACCCCAGTGTCCCCCCCACCCCTCTTCCTGGTTACAGGTTACCCCCAGGTAGAACCCTCCTCCCCCTTTCGCGTCCTGCTCCCTCAGGTGTGTCTCAGGTCACACCATCCCCCTTGGTTGAGCCTTTGGAGGGGGGTGAATTTGTTGCTGATAGCACAGAGGTCTCTTGCCGTTCTCTGCGCTTGGAGACTCCTTCTGGTTTTCCCCCTTGGCCGTCCTCGCCACCTCTGCTGCCTGTCGCTGTAAACTCTGGTGCTGTTTGGGGTGATGACTCTGGAGGTGCAGACTCTGGGGGTGCGGGTTCTGGGGTGCTGACCCTGAGGGTGCTGTCTT